TAATAATAACTGTTTATTGAGTGTAGGATAATTATTTTATTGAATAAATTTCCAGAAAATGATGCGAATCGGTCGTTTAATGAACGGTATTCGTGTGGCCTCAGCACAGACAACAAATTTGTCGAGAAGATTTGTTCATAAAGGTGTAGAATGTACACCACCAATGCGTTTTATTAGTGTTCCGGTGAGTGCTTTATCACATTTTCTGGTAATTTTGTATTTTAGGTTGGTAAGATCAAAACGGCATTTCGTTGACATTCGCAGTTGAATATGTTATTTATGATTAGTTAGAGCACAGCAAGAAATGTTCGTACGAACGAAATGCCGATGTGATTTTACCAACCTGAAATACTAAATTACCTACTGTTATTATCTGCTATTATTAGTGCTATTAATAATATCTGTTATTACTGAAACCATAGATTTGTAATTTCATATAATAATGCAACACTTAAAATCACTACAATCTCACAATCAGCTCGTTGTTAATGTTTGGTGTTTTTCTAAGATGAATCTGTAGTTACAATAGTAGTAGTAATAAATTTATGTAATTGAACAAATAAGCAGAAAGAAAATTTGTAACGTTGAAAAGATTTCAGCAAAAGATCGGAATGTACATGTTTATAGCGACAGTGTTTTTATCGTATCCGACGTACGTGTTGTTCAACTTGGATAACTTAAGACCTCGACCTGAGAATGAGCTCAGTCCTGAGGTTCTTGTTTGCTTTATTAAACTATCGATATTATCTTTCTACTTTTGTCCGGCTCTCGTGGGTCGCCACAGTGCAATTCAGTTACTCTTCGAATACACTCGATCGATACGCTAACGAGTTTGTGTAATGTACAGCCACATTCGTCAGTATCGTTTCCCACCGAATATACTCCTTGATACAACTTCCGCTGATGTTCGGGGCGTGAGATGAACGGTTTTTAAGATTTGTAACTGATCGTGGCAAAATTTTAGATTGGTTACCACGAGAGTTGTTATTTTTATTCACTCATTAAAGTATCACTTGAATTTTTCAGTATTTTCATCGTGTGATGTTGTGTTTATTATTAAGTGTTGTGGTTATGAGTCACGTATCTTTACAGGTACAAGCTGAGATCGACAGACGCGAGGCAGCCCGACGTGCAGCGGGCGGGGTGGTAGCGTCACCGTTCATTTAAATTACTTCATAAATGAATTTGATTAATTAAAGTATTTAGTGATTATTGATGCCTTTTGAAGGGTTCGTAGACGACGAATTGAATCTCGAGATTCCAGAAAGACTCAACATTTTGAAAAAAAAAGAACGAGACGATTCACGCCTCTAAAACGCGAATTCCTTCTTTATATTAGGATAGCTGGATTGTTAGGTTTTCTCTCGGAATACTCAGAGGGATGTCCCTCTCGATGAAATTGTTGATTGCTCGATACCTCACCTTTTGTCATCTACGAACCCGAGATTAATAACCTCAATTTGCATAGTTTGTGTCGTTTAGATGAGATCGCTTTCGTATTTATTTTTTAGTGAAAACTGTCGAAACCGATGATTTTATTTGGATTTAAATCTGTTGGTTTTATTCGTCATTGTTTTGACTTTATTATCATTATGGAACCGATGATATAAAACAGAAATGTGTTTGAAATAAACGTAGAAACGATTCACTTTCATGTTCTTATTATTATTAGACATTATTGGTATGTTCTTTAAAGTAATGAATTAACACGAAAAAAATCCTTTATTTTTAATTATTTACAGTCTATAAAACACTAATACACAACAATGTGGAGTTGTAAACCACATATAGATGTATTGTAGCCTCAGATGAGCCTCATCCAAGATGCAAACCCATGCTTGAACTTTGCCTTGGTTCGAATCATAGGGCTAAAATGAACTCATCTGTGACGTTACACCTGTACGAGGTTTATACAGTGCCTGTTAAAAATTGATTTGAAAGCTATTGCGAAGGCAAGCACATTTCAGCACTAATTACAACAAGTTTTTCGATAAAAATTAATGGTGTTTGCTGAGCAATTGATTAAAATGTA